CTAATACAACTATGACGTTAGTCTTTGTGAATTAGTCTTACATGAACAAACAGCATAGAAATGCCACGAAAGACTGTCGAGGCACCAAATGTCTTTCATAACTTAAAAAAAACAAACGGCCGTATACCCCCCTCTGTATCCTTACCATCCCTCTTTTTCGTATTCATCCACAATTTTTAGGCCCACACTTTTTCCCATTTTTCGTCCCTACAACTCCACACCACACACAATTATTTTTTTTATTCAATGTCTCATATCTTTGTCTGTTGAACTTTCACCCAACTTCCACTAATGCACAATCTCTTTCTTCCCCTCCCCTCTCTCTCTCTTTCGTTTTGTGTTTGTTTGTTTGAAAGTCCATCCCAATAGACGAGTTGGATACCATTTTTTTCTTTTTGTTTGTCTCTGAATATCTTGTGTCTGCTCACGAGTAAGCTTTTAAAACCATGTTTATCTGTATATCATGTGCGGTTCCCCCTTCCTATTCTCCCCCACCCCCTTATTCATAGAACACGCTTGAAGGAATTCTAATTATCATCGCACTTATCGTGTCTGTCTGGCTGGCCAATTGTCTGTCTATTTTTCTGACCACCTATGCATCCGTCTGTCTGTCCGTCTGTCTGTCTAGCTGTTTGTCTTTCCTTTTCCCTCGAAATCCGCAGTCCCTGTCTTTTCTCCCTGGAGATCAATTTATTCACCCCCCTCCCCTCTCGCAACATGGACATAGCTCAAGCCACGAAGCCAGGATCAGCTATCAGGCGCCGGCTCTGAGCCTAGCGTGACACCTCAATCATACCAAGCCCCGATAAAACTATCAAAACATTAATTGGTTTTCACTGAAAACTCCGCCATGATCGATGTGGTTCCGAGACGCCATTTTCTGGTCAAATACGCCTTTATGATTTTGAACCTCAGTCTCGTGTACGACGCAGAGGAAATGGGGAGTTATAGCCCTTGTTCGGATGTCCATCGGCCCAGAGAAGCCGGGAACCCGTAAATAAAGTCGTGGCGATACGGTGAGCCAAATGTAAATAATTTGACAACTTTTGAGGGATCTGAGTTACCGGCCAAGTGCTGGAAATCTTGCTGGGACCCACTTTCAGGTTAGATTTTTGTTTCTTCTGGTACGGATATAAATCTTTCGCTTGATTAAAAATGATAACTTTAGATGGCGTATTTTAGGATATTTTTTACTCATACTGTTAAATCAAAATTTGGTGATAATTTAGTCCCCCAATCCTTTCAAGATACAAAATATGTGGCGTATATTCTTGAGTGAGTTTCTTTGAGGCCAATGTACCTCTGCAAAACCCTGTTGAAAATTTACTCAGCGCATGAGTCTCAAAACGACCAAACAATTCACTGAGGTAAAAGTTATGATGTGTGGTGCGCCCCTACGGCTGTGTTCATTAAGTGAATCTTAATTAATGTAACATGTTTGGATAGTATATACTGTTCAGTCATTTAGGAAATGTTAGAGATCCAAGAAAAGCAAATTAAAAGTTAAAAGTTTCAAGCTGAAATGAAATGGTGTATGTTAGCGTAATTTTATTTTAACTTTTAGTATAAATTTGGTTTTGATGACGGTATATTGAGGTACAAGTATTTTCTTTTCCAATCATGGCATTTGGTCAAGTTTTTCAGTTTTGCGTAAAAAGAGTGAAAAAGAAGAGATTGGAGACAGGGATAAAGGAAAACTATAGTTAAGCTAAGCATGGAGATTTATCTTACTTGGGTGCTGAGCCCCCCTCCCCCTTCCTTTTTTTACCCCAATCGGATAAGAATGAATTAAGAAAAAAGCAACAACAGAAACAAAACAAAACATAGATCAATAAAGTAAAAATTATTTGGCTCTAGTGTGTTTGTACTCATTATGTTCTCGCCTGATGCTGTTGCAGTGGGTGTTATGATTTTGACATGCTATGTGGAACTTTTAGCATCCAACCCCAGAACGGAAATACTTTTTAATAATAATAATAATAATACTACTAATAATAATAATAATAATAATAATAATAATAATAATACATGTAATAATAATAATAATGATGATAACAGTTGCATTTATATAGCGCATATCCATGCTCTAGAACATACTCTATACGCTTTATCACTATTATTTTCATCTAATCCTTCCTGGAATATTTCATCTCAACCAGGTGTCATTAGGCAGAAAATCTGACAGGAAGGTCGGTCGGTCGATCGGTCGATCGGCAGTAGGTTGCTAGGTAGGTAGGTGGGCAGGTAGGTAGGTAAGTTGGTGGGCAGGTAGGTAGGTAAGTAGGTGGATTGGTAGGTAGGAAAGTAGGTGGGTAGGTAGATAGGTACGTAGGTATGTAGGTAGGTAGGCAAGTGAGTCCGTCGGTAGGTAGGTACGAACCTTTGAATGTATTTCACACTTATTTATTCCTCGGCCACACAAGTGCGGATGTCATGACGACCTCTGCTCACAGCTGCTGTGATTGACACATCTTGATTGCCTTAACGGGTCACAGGCATGGCTTATAATAGGATAGACGCGGCTGCAGTGCTAAGGCTGCTGAAGCTGATTCGTGGGGGGTAACAGGGTTATTCACAAGTTTGTTCCTATTATCATAACTTCCTTTTCCTCGACCTGAAAAGACGATTGGACGAGAACGACCTTTTCACCCCACCCCGCCCCCACCCCCATCCTTCTGTCTTAAAGGTTGCTGGGTACGTTCAATTAAAGTTCCTGTACTTCCTTGGCCTACTTTTCCGCAGCCAACTGCGAATGACGTTAATTAGAAACCAAAGCTACAGAACTATTGTTTCAGCGTCGATGCTAATGCAAGAATGGCTCATTTGCATGGATTTGTAAATTTGTGGTGTCTTTAATCGGATTGGTAATTTCACACTGTGCACGCAATTCTTTTTCGAGTGCTGTTGAAATAGCACATTGTCCATTGGGGCAATGAGTGCTTGAATGTTTGCCGTTACGCGTTAACAGCACGGTGTGGTTGGTTTGAATATAACCCCACAATACTATTAGACCCAAAAGCTGCGTTACTTCCGAAGATAAACTGAACAGCCAAGTGTTTAGAAGTAAACTGCCATTTTTTAAAGTTAAAAGGATGAGAGAAGGCGACAACAGATGGAAAAAAATCACTTAAGTGCCTAAGCATCGAGTTTTGCATAATAAAATGTAGAACCTGTGATAACATAAATAAGTAAAATGGTAAGCTTGAGCTTATGTCCGATCCCCCTCTCCCCTCCTCCTTATCAACATAGACAGGCTGCAGCAGTACTGAGCCAATATTACAGATCCCAGGAAACGTACGAAACTTTAAAAAAAACCTTTGAAAAAGAAAAACATACGAAAGACCCGTCGAACTCAGGGTACTAATGACTGTGGTGTAGTGGTTAGGCACCTCGCTGTCGCAAGCAGGAGAACCTAGTTCAATTTCACACTGGGGAGTACTTTTATCGAGTATCTCGTAATTTTGCTGGGATGTTGTATCCCTGTCAGCCCAGGTTGTACCTGACAAGTAGGGCTGGGAGCCCGCCTCCTAAATTATAAATATTATTTCGAACATCTACATTTAAAAACAAGAACTCAGGATCTCCGAATTACTAGGCAAGTATTTTAACACTATATCGTGGTTACCCCCTCCGACCCCTAACCCACCCATTATCCACTCTACTCTGTAAACCGCACCCCCCCCCTTACTTCACCCCAAAATGGTCGAAGAGTAAAACAATTGGCCCAAGGCACCGACAAGGGAAAACAGGCGAAGACCTCTCTCTCACTGTATCTCTCTCTCTCACTCTCTATCTCTCTCCTTCTTCTCTCTCTCTCTCTCTCTTTCTCTCTCTCTCTCTCTCTCTCTCTCTCTCTCTCTCTCTCTCTCCTTCTCACCTCTCTCTCTCTCTCTCTCACCCCACTCTCCAATTCTTAAAGTCATTTCGCCTCTATCTGTCCTTCTGTCGTTCAAATGTCACCTTCATGTCGTCCATCATGCTTTCGTTTATCGTCCTGTCCTGATTTTAATTAACCGTTATGACCCCAGTTATATCTCGCTTCCCCTCTTCCCTTCAGTGTCTTCTCCAATCTTTTCTTCTTCCCACTGAGAACACCCTCCTCTTATTTTTCAATTCTCACGTCTCCTTATTCTTTCTTTATTCTTATGTGCTTCCACTCTGATCCCCTCCTCTCACCTTTCCCATATTCTTCATCTCTGGGACTCTTTTTTTCCTCTTGTATTATCCCTACCCCCACCCCATTTACCCGAAATCTCAAGCTCCATCCTTACAGCTAACCTAAGATCCTCTTAACACTATAACTCGTTGCTGACAAACCCTGAAACGTTCGTTATGTTCCGAGTCTTCAAATCATTATCTTCGATTAGAGCAACAGCTAAACAGCACATTGGCTGTAAGGATAAAGGCTAATAGCTTGATTCATCCCTTTAGACAGTCATTCGACAGTTTCATGTCCTCAAGTATTGGGGGAAGTCTATTGACTACACAATAAGTTTGAAAGGGACAAAAGATATCTCTGTATTTCTGACCCAGGAATGATAATGGCATTATTACCGTCATGCTCCATTCAGGTAAACGGTTGTACAACAACCACCACAAACACAAACAAGCACGCCCCTCCACCGTGAACCTCCTTAAATCAAAGGAAAGGAAACAGATACAATATAGCAGCAATAGAAGGAAATATAGTCAAGCAAAGGGCAATGGAAACTCTGAAACAAAGAACCAATTTGTTTACACCGGAGGAATAACCTGATAAACGAAACCATCAGTCCAACAAAAGATAATCAAAATTTTACGTATAAACCAACTGACTCACTGACTCACTGACTCACTGACTGACTGACTGACTCACTCACTCACTCACTCACTCACTCACTCACTCACTCACTCACTCACTCACTCACCCATTTACTCATTCTTTAATTCAAGAAAGTAAGCAAACAAACAAGCAAGCAAGTTAGCAAGCAATCATGCATGCATGCCAGCACTCCACTCACCTTGCACGTGCAGCATGACCTGTCTCAACTGCACAGGGTTGGTGTTGATCTGGCACTGGTAGATGCCGGCGTCAGAGATCATGACCTTCCTTATGTGCAGGTTCCACTCACGCACGTACGGCCGCTCCAGACTGATCCGCTCATCCGTGATGATGCGCCTGTCCTGGAGAGTCAGCGTTTTGTGTCTTGGGCTCATCCACACCACCTAAGGATATGCCAGACAAAGAGGAAAAGATAAGCTGAAATGCAGAAAAAAGACAAGATATTCTTTGCTCTTGGTTTGCAAATATGCGCAATCGTTTGGTGTTGTGAAATTACTTTCACTACTTAAGTTTGCATGATTTTGTTCAAACTGTTATACAACGATGATATGACATTATTATGCTTGTTTGATTTGGTATTTCTTCAAGGCGTCAAGATTGCAGAGTTGCGTGTTATGAAAATGTATTTTGTCCATAAATCTGAGCGTGTTCTATTTTCAGCACACATCGTGGCGAGGCACGGATTCTTTTTCTTGTAACAGGTGACCAACCCAAATTTACCAATGCAAACAGTGCATCGACAAAGCAGAGCATTTCCGTTATGTGAATTTAATTAATCAAGGTTTTACTCATCATTTCTTTTAGGCTTAAATAAAACCGACAGGTTTGATGAGTTCATGTCGTGTACTCATTAGAAGCAAGTGAAAACGTTACCTGGTTGGCAAATATTTTTATCTTGTTAAATATTAATTTTTTTTGAATAAATGAAAATGTATTCTTTCCTCGCTTTATGCAACATTCCAATCAAACTGCTTGCTCCCCACTGAGAGACAAAGACAGGTGTTGAGGTAAAGATTTCGGCACGCATACACCTGCTCACGGATTCGTTTGCTAAATCTTTTTTGACAAGTTTGACGCTCTCGACGACACAGTGTGGAACATTTCTTAGGCTCGTGGTACCCCATCAGGATACTGGGTTGAGTTCAAATATTTAAGAAACTTCGAGAAACATATTATGTAAGACCAATCTCGAATTCAAACCTCGACCCTCCGTGGAACAATTCAAGCTGATAATTTACTACACCATAGCGGCCGACACACGATAGGTTGAAAGCTGATGTCATAACAACACATCTTATTGAAAAGGGGCGTAAAGCAGAAAGCCAGACTTGAGACAAACAATCAAACAGGCGAACTGTCGCAGGCAGACACGCAGAGACAGACGGGCGTCGAGATGGCGGGCGGGAGACTGTCTTGTTGACACCAATTACCGAGTCCTGGTGCGCCCTGACAAGGAGGAGCTGTCATTACCGCGCAGAAAATGCAATTGCCAGCCTCATTTCCAGCTCTCGGACAATCTATTTGCCTCGTGAGCGCCAACAAAGGAGGATTGGGTGAGCCTTTTCGGGCTGGGCGAAAAGAGAATTTAGCCTCGGAGTATAAGAATTGATTCGTAGATTTGGATTTCCATTTTCTTTTCGCGTGCTTTTCTCCTACGAGACATTTCCGCTGTACCGCAATTTGTCGCCCCGTCTGCTGCTGTGTCAGTTACTTTTATAGAGCACGTTTTTATCTAGTGCTGTCGTTGGCCTAGTGGTTAGGCTCTCGGACTCGCAACCGTAAGGTAGTGGGCTCGAATCATGCAGGGGCCCGATGTTGTGTACATGAAAAAGGTCCTTTACACGAATTTTCCTCACTTCTCTCAGGTGGAAATGTGTACTCAACTATAGACAGTGAAAGATCTTTTCAGGTTGTAACTGTTAGAAAGCCTGAAATCCACAGTTTGCACCGTATGCTTCCCAGGAAGCCGAGAATGATTCTGGGTGTTCTTGGGTCTGCTAGAGTAATATTGTTATTTAGGCATTGAAGCAAGTGGACATGCCATGTATAAATGCAGTTCTTGTTATATGTATGTCTACGCTGAATAAAATGCTATCTATTAAAAATAAAAAAACCCCAACTTAGTACCATTTTCAGGCTTTATGATAGCTAAAGCATATTGCTGACATTATTTTACGCAGCTACTTGCGTGCCTTAAACCCAAAAAGCCAAAGCTTAGTACTTTAACTATAATGACTTATTTATTTCGACCGCCACAACAGTCGCAACAAATTGACCACAGTCTCTCTGTCACTACATTTTGGAATTTACCTGCAATATAAAAGAATATTACTTCCCACTTTATTGAATCCCTTAAGTAATTTGTTTTGCAATAGTGTACATAAATGCACAAATAATATATTAGTGTGGGTGGTTTGCGGGTGCACTGGGGTGGTTTGCTTCTTGTTTCCTATCAAACATCTATCGTCTTTATCTCCCCTCCTTCTTTTTTGTGTTTGTTACTCTCTTGTATCACCCCTAATCTTCGGCACTTATATCACCTCATTGTGTTGCAAGTGCTGTAAAACACTTATTACAACTAAAATACATTGATACATACTTGCGTGAGTAATACACCACATCACAAACATAGACAACCCACACACCGATGCTGGTTGCCACTAAGCACTGATGCAGCACCCTGATCTTGAGCCACGGTTATCGTGTCATGCTCAAGGACACTCTTCGGTGATCCAAAACATCGTGTCACCGACAAACGCTTGGCAAATTGTGAGCCTGGGTTCCCTGCTAACCACTCCTAGCTCCCTCACCCTCCCCCCCTCTCTCT